CAGAGCACGTCCGCTCTCGCTGCGTGCAGTTGTGAGGAATCTCAGGTGCTCTTATCTAAAAGATAGAATGGATAAAAAAAAAAAAAACTTGTAATTGAACTCAAGCTGTCTCACCTGTGAATGAATGTCTGGGCAAAGGTTGAATAATTTAAACAATAAATCCCCTTTACCCCCAACCCCTCTAACTTTACGTCTTTAGTTGGTTCATCTTATCCTTCCTTGGCAACTCGGTGTAATTGAATCCTCTGCTTGGGCTAATCGGGGCTTGCTTGGGATGAGCTCTGTTGCACATTTACTGCTTTCCAAAACACCATCCTGTAGCACTCGAGCAGGCAAGTGCGGTAACATTTTAAAATTTAGCACTAGTGTATCCAAGAAGAGAAGGACTAATGTGTATTTCAGTAAATTGCAGCCAAGAACTACTTTAAAGTTGTTACTGTTGCAGGTGCTGGATCCCTGTTTGAGAAGACATATTCCTTCCATATTCCAAAAATTCCTCTCCGATGTGCACACGTTCACTCAAGCGGCACACAACCACAGCTGCTTCCTCAAGCAGCCGAGCTTTGCGCCATAGACATTTATTTACTTGGTAGTAGAGAGCGGAAGGTGCGTGGCACGGCTGTTGGGAGCCGGAATGTACCCACAGAGACTGTGAAGGATAAACTCACCTAAACACTCAGAAATCACACAGCAGGCTTGTTGCGTGCTTAAAATACCTTAGCGCAAGGCGCTCGTGGCCGTACTGGCGTGAGCAGCTGTGATGATAAAATGTTTTATACTTTATCATTTCCTTGTTAATGTGATCGAGAGTGAGGGGGTCATGGCCAGCCAGAGACCGGACTAATGAATCCATCAGGGAAGCCGTGACAAGAGAGGAATAGAAAATCCGGAGTGCGGCTTCAGCATCAGAATCAGGTTTTTAAGGCACTCTGGTTAATGGAGGTGCATTCGACACTGGCACAAGCTCTGCCCCTCGCACGCGGGGAATGGTGCCGAGTTTGGAAGCAGGCTAGTTCAGGGGGCACACGTGTGTAGTGGAGGGGATAAATTGGGAAAGGTGAAGCTGTTTCTAGGTGTTCCTTCTCCTGGGGGCAGGACGGGTGTCTCAGCACCAGCTCCTCCTCACAGTAGTGAAGCGCTATATGGAAAAACCCCACGGCACTGATGGCAAATCTGCCATCCAGCATTTCCATACGCTAATTAACACCATACTTTTAATAACCTGATATGTGAATAACGGCTGTAAGAATAACAAAAAAAGGGCTGGATTTGGACACGGGGGGCTGAGGTGAAGCCCCCTTTGGGCCGTTAAAGCCCCTGGCCGGCACTGCCAAGGGCAGGGGAGTCCTCGAGCCGGGCTGCGAGCCGAGCAGGCAGCGCGGCACGAGGCCGTTCCTGCGTTCGTTGTTCACACGGGTACGCGGGTTGCACGCACACCCGCGCACACCCACGCAGGAGCGCGGGCGGCTGCCGCGAGGCGCCGCTCCGGCCGCCCCGGCAGCGGGGCGGGAGCAGCCGGCCCCGAGGCGGCCTC